CTACATTCTAGGTAATTTAGTTTTCTAATTATGAGTATAGTATGTGTATTTAATATGTGAAGAATTTGGTGTATATTATCATATTGTTGGTTATAACAATATCTTAAATTGTAATTTTTAGTGCATACAACTTGTGGACACATAATAAGCAATGAGTTCTGAGACCATGATGGTTTCTTTTGATTATTTCGTCTAGTCATGATCCTTAAATTCTATGTTAACCATCATATACAAATAAACTTTACATTGAGCATTGGACCAAAGTGGCCAAATGCAATTGCTTAATCTTAAACAATTAGAATCCTTGGCCAAAAAAAAAAAAAAAATTTTGCATGAAAAATAATTAGGCATGTCAATGCGCCCACAGAACCTCCAGAAGAAAGAGCTATGTAATTTTTTTGTTTGTTTGTCTTGTCTTCTATTAAATGTTTTAAGTTTCCTACTTAATTTAACTAAGTTAATAATAGTTATAAAAATTTTTGTTAATTTTTTTGGTTTCTGCCTGCAGTTACACAAATCTTGGCTGTCTTTGTTAAGATGTTCAATAAAGCACGTGACAAGAATGAGCAGCAGGCAGATGCTGAAAAGAAGAAATTAGAAAAGGAAGCAATGAAAGAGCTCGTAACAGCCCAATCTGCGAATGATCACTCAAAACCTAATTTCCGAATTCAGAAACATGCTCCTTGATCAGTCTGTACTAAAGTAGCAGGAAGCCTTACTGGCAGTGATGTGGAGGATAATATGTCGGTTGCATCTCCCTCAATATTCATAATCATGAATTGTGCCAGTTATTCCATGTTACATGTGGTGCCGCTGCATCTGACACTGCCTTCATTGCTGCTAGAATTTGTTTATGAAAATGTGTGTATCCTCCGATTTGTATATTTACATGGTTGCTCCATCGGCATTTTCAGGGCTAGTTAGCAGCCAGCTTCAAATATGCTTTCCCACCTCCATTTAATCAAGTTTTGTAGAACTATCTAATATGCAGAGGACACTCTAAATGTGATACAAAATGCCCAAATTGTCTATATTCAAGTTTCAAAATATACATGACAAGTTCAGCAACAAGTGGTTTTATCCATGGAAAAGAAATCTCTCTCTCTCTCTCTCTCTCTCTCTATATATATATATATATATATATAAATGTATGTATGTATATGTGTGTATACTACTTTTGTGTGTGAGCTTCACTGAATTTTGTTGGAGAATTATTTTGAAAATTATGTGTGTTTCATTAAGTAGAAGAAATGTAAATAAGAAAAAATATTTTAGCCTGTTAAAGTCTAGTGGACGGAAGTCATATTGTAACTTGATTTAAAATGAAAGAGGTAGATTGTCGTTAAATAAAAGTGAAGGGATTAAAGTAAAATTGTTTATAAAACCAGATAAAACAATTAGAAATTGATAGAATTTTAGACAGAGTGTAGATTTAATCTTGTTGTAGGATCACTCCATGAATGCATTTCGGTCTTAGATTTTAAATTGTAGATAATTGTGTTTTGGGTATGTAGAGCTACTGTTTCGTGAGAATGTAAGGGTGCTAAACGTAATTTAGAGTACACTGAGTGAGAATGTAAGAGTGCTAAATGTAATTTAGACTACACTGAATTCTAATGACTAAAATAAAATTTAGTCATTTGCAATTGTAGCCATTTGCAAATGTCACTTCCATTGTAATTGAATATTGAATTTTTAACTTTTGTTTCTTTTACTTTTTCTTTTTCCCCAAATTTAAGATTAAAACAATACCATGCCCTAAGATTAAGATTTTTTTTACAATCTAAGTGACAAATTTGATTCATATTATACAATCAATTAAGTAAACAACACGCAGTACATACAATTCATACAAACTTGTAACAAGCATACAAGATACAAGCCTCGAATTGTATTTTAAATGTAAACTAGAGAATTTCACATGCAGCTAAAATGATAGATGGATATTAAATAAGGATTTAAGATGGGCAATTAGTAATTGGTTGAATCAACATTGTGACTGTATGCCTCCCTTGTGATATCGAATTGCAAATGTAATTTTGCAAGTCCTCATCACAAGCTATTAAAATACAGTCATTGTCCTCATCTTGATACTTGACATGGTAAGTTCCACCTTGTAGGTTCAGCCTCTTTGCCACTTGAGTAAAAATCTCATGAAATGTGCAATTATATTGGATATATAAAATTGTGATTAGCTTAATGTATGGTTGGCATATGGATATGTAAATTTGAGCCATCTATGTTTTTAGTTAAATTCTCAAGCTGTAAACTTCATTTTTTTTTTTTTTGGGAGGAATTAATTTCTTTGGTTTATATTCTGTTCTCTTCCCACCCCACCACGCGCACACCCACCAAAAATAAATAAATAAATAAAAATAAAGTGGCATTTTTGAAAAAACGCCACTAATGACGTCATATATTTGTGACAGAAAGGGAACAGACGTTAAATATTTTGCAGCGTTTTAAAAAACGCCGTCTAATACTTTTAGCGACGTTTTTTAAACGTTGTAAAGCTATTGCGGCGGCCGTATAAACGACGAAAATACTAAACGCCACTGTAAGTTTTTACGGCATTTTTCAGGCTTTTAGCGGCATTTTAAAAACGACTCTAAAACTCAAATTTCCTGTAGTTAATTTTGAGTGCATACAACTTGTGGACACAGAATAAGCAATGAGTTCTAAGACCATGATGGTTTCTTTTGATTATTTCGTCTAGTCATGATCCTTAAATTCTGTGTTAACCATCATATACAAATAAACTTTACATTGAGCATTAGACCAAAGTGGCCAAATGCAATTAAACAATTAGAATCCTTGGCCAAAAAAAAAAAAAAAAAAAAATTTGTGTGAAAAATAATTAGGCATGTCAATGCGCCCACACAGCCTCCAGAAGAAGAGCTATGTAATTTTTTTGTTTGTTTGTCTTGTCTTCTATTAAATGTTTTAAGTTTCCCACTTAATTTAACTAAGTTAATAATAGTTATAAAAAATTTTGTTAATTTTTTTTGGTTTCTACCTGCAGTTACACAAATCTTGGCTGTCTTTGTTAAGATGTTCAATAAAGCACGTGACGAGAATGAGCAGCAGGCAGATGCTGAAAAGAAGAAATTAGAAAAGGAAGCAATGAAAGAGCTCGCAACAGCCCAATCTGCGAATGATCACTCAAAACCTAATTTCCGAATTCAGATACATGCTCCTTGATCAGTCTGTACTAAAGCAGCAGGAAGCCTTACTGGCAGTGATGTGGAGGATAATATGTCGGTTGCATCTCCCTCAATATTCATAATCATGAATTGTGCCAGTTATTCCATGTTACATGTGGTGCCGCTGCATCTGACACTGCCTTCACTGCTGCTAGAATTTGTTTAAGAAAATGTGTGTATCCTCCGATTTGTATATTTACATGGTTGCTACATCGGCATTTTCAGGGCCAGTTAGCAGCCAGCTTCAAATATGCCTTCCCACCTCCATTTTATCAAGTTTTGTAGAACTATCTAATATGCAGAGGACACTCTAAATGTGATACAGAATGCCCAAATTGTCTATATCCAAGTTTCAAAATATACATGACAAGTTCAACAACAAGTGGTTTTATCCATGGAAAAGAAATCTCTCTCTCTCTCTCTCTCTCTCTATATATATATATATATATATAAATGTATGTATGTATGTATATGTGTGTATACTACTTTTGTGTGTGAGCTTCACTAAATTTTGTTGGAGAATTATTTTGAAAATTATGTGTGTTTTATTAAGTAGAAGAAATGTAAATAAGAAAAAATATTTTAGCCTCTTAAAGTCTAGTGGACGGAAGTCATATTGTAACTTGATTTAAAATGTAAGAGGTAGATTGTCGTTAAATAAAAGTGAAGGGATTAAAGTAAAATTGTTTATAAAACCAGATAAAACAATTAGAAATTGATAGAATTTTAGACAGAGTGTAGATTTAATCTTGTTGTAGGATCACTCCATGAATGCATTTCGGTCTTAGATTTTAAATTGTAGATAATTGTGTTTTGGGTATGTAGAGCTACTGTTTCGTGAGAATGTAAGAGTGGTAAAAGTAATTTAGACTACATTGAGTGAGAATGTAAGAGTGCTAAATGTAATTTAGACTACACTGAATTCTAATGACTAAAATAAAATTTAGTCATTTGCAATTGTAGCCATTTGCAAATGTCACTTCCATTGTAATTGAATATTGAATTTTTAACTTTTGTTTCTTTTACTTTTTCTTTTTCCCCAAATTTAAGATTAAAACAATACCATGCCCTAAGATTAAGATTTTTTTTACAATCTAAGTGACAAATTTGATTCATATTATACAATCAATTAAGTAAACAACACGCAGTACATACAATTCATACAAACTTGTAACAAGCATACAAGATACAAGCCTCGAATTGTATTTTAAATGTAAACTAGAGAATTTCACATGCAGCTAAAATGATAGATGGATATTAAATAAGGATTTAAGATGGGCAATTAGTAATTGGTTGAATCAACATTGTGACTGTATGCCTCCCTTGTGATATCGAATTGCAAATGTAATTTTGCAAGTCCTCATCGCAAGCTATTAAAATCCAGTCATTGTCCTCATCTTGATACTTGACATGGTAAGTTCCACCTTGTAGGTTCAACCTCTTTGCCACTTGCTGTTGAAACTCTACCATTCCCGACGACACGGGGAGCTGAAATTTAATAAAATCATCTCCATATTTTGCCTTTATGGTCACAATACTTGTGTCTTGCGCTGCTGTAAAATGTGGCTTTGTGCGAGAAGCAGTAGCCATGTATTGCATATGAGGTGGATCAGAAATTTGAGGCTGACTAGATTCTAGGATTTGTTCCTGAACAACACCTTGGACAAGTTTATTGGAAAGCAATTGGTTATCCTTACTTCTCTTACTAGGTGAGCACCAGGTGATATTATATTCCCTGCAAGCACGCTTCACTGTAGATCGGCTAACTACAAAACGAAAAATCCAAATTCTAGATAAGAAAATATATTTTTTTTACTACTACCAAAAGTATATGAATTTTCCAAATGATCCAGCTAGGAATGGGTATCCCAAGTATGTAAGCTTACTGCCAAGGCTTTCTGCAGCATCTTTAAGTTTCATTCCAAAACGTTGTTGGAGATCCTCCCTGCTAATTGGAATTCCAGCTTTTCTTTGTAGCCTCTGGGACGAGTTAATTATACAATGTTGTTGTACAAATGTAACAACAAAATTGTTTTCTTCTGTGTTACTAACAACATTGTTTTCGGTGTCTACAGCATCCACTTCTGGTAATTGTTGATCGAATAAATCTAGAAATAACGTCTCTTCTCCATCCTCCATCCTATTTGGAGATCTTGCAGTTTGGGGTATTTGATAAGAATAAAGTTTACCATCCTCCGAAAAATCCAGAACTTCAATGGATAACTCTTCTAGTTCTTCTCCAGAAGCGACCTTCAGACTTTTACAATGCTGCTTCATTGTCGTCAATAACGGAACCAATGCAGTCTTCAGATCCCTACCTTCACTGTAGTTTGGGGGCAAAAAGAATTCTAGCACATAAACATTGTCTTCAATATAACTACTCCGCAACCAAATTGCAAAAGAACCTGTAAGTCCAAATTTGCGTGCATAGTGTGCCAAAGGGTACTCAGTTATGCTAAATTGAGTAACATCTTTGCAGAAGACCAAATTTTGGGACGAAAATGCTCTCCCAACAACCCCCTGCCCTTTTCGTAGGTGCTGTAAATCACATATAAATAAAAAATCATCCTTATGGTACTCTCCTTTATCATTTTTGAATATAGCATTGCAAAGCCTACACGAGACCCAAGTCTGAGCTAAAGGTAGATGATGAGTGCTATGCACCACGTATAGCATGGTCCTGATTTCTTTTTCATCCACGTCCTGATAATAGTTCACGAATACATATTTGTTAGCCCAGAGTCTTTACAATATCTAATGAACAAAACAATACAACTTTGGACATTTCAATTACAATTCACCACTTACGTCCCTATCATACGAATGCATACATTTTGAACTTGGCAGACCTTGAAGCTGCACCGCTCTGAAATGATGTAATTGAAGAATGTTGATATATTTAAACTAAAAGATATTTGCAAGAATCAAATATTATCACTTATAAGTTGTCTTTTATGACTATTGCCTTTTACATTATTAGATAAAAAATAATTAAAATAAATTATAAATTTATTTGGTACAACTTTTGATAATTGAAAATGTTTGATTAAATAAACTGTCACATAAATTTTTTTTTTTCCAGTAATTAAAACAAAAGAAATGAGACTCTTTTAGCTAGACTTATTGAAAGGTTTCAGTTAAAAAGAATTAAAATTTTGAAGATTTTTTTTTCTTTTTTGGGGTCAAATAAACTAAATAAATCAAATAAGTTATAATTTAAAATTACAACCACACATTATTTAGTCAACCGTTTTTTAAGTAAATAAGTTGATTTATAAATAATAATACCAAAACATTGTATACAATAAATGAAAAAATCAGCACAGTTGAGGCTATTAAACCGACCAACTTAGGCTGCACCAAGGTATTGTATAATTGTCCAAAATCAACTTCGTTGTTTTGCAGAGGTGCACCTTACCCTGGCATGGAGTATTTCAATGGTCCGACACTTTGAGTAGATATCTGTATTTCCTAGGGATGTAAGAAAAACCAAAAAAACTGACTAAACCGATCGAACCGGATCGAACCGGTTATATTTGGTCGGTTTTTTAATATGAATCGATCTGTTCGGTTTTGGAAATTAATTTTTTTCAGTTTTCAGTTCGGTACCGGTTTTGATATACTATACACCGATTTGCACCGAAACCGACCGAATATATTTACATATAATATATATTAAATATATAATGAATATTTTGACTCTATTTGATAGACTTGTGGTTTAGACTTATGGGATGATTGTTTTGAGTTTTGGTATTGTTTGATGTCAAGACTTTGGTTCTGAGATTATATTTTGTTTCTGATTCTAATTCAGTAAAAGCTTCAAGTCTTAGTATTTATTAATTTTTTTGTTTGTATTTTTGTGAATGGTTGGATTAGATATGGTTAAAATTGTATACAAATGGCTAATTTAATATTTTTATATAAATTATTTAGTATACTACAAATTTAAAAAATGACTCAATTTTGAAAGTACTTAAACCGATTAAACCGTATTGAGCCGAACCGTTTGAATCGGTGCAGTTTGGTGCGGTTTGATAAAAAATTTAGTCTATATTGGTTTTAAATATAATAAAACCGACATTATCGGTTCGGTGCAAAATTTCACCTAAACACCGACCGTCCTGAGCCGATTACATCCCTAGTATTGCCTAGTAAATGGGGCTACTATAAACAATTAGGTAAATCCTTTCTTTTCTTTTCTTTTTTTGGGGTACATCTAGGTAAATCCTACTCACCTCCCTTGAGAGGTGAAAAAATAAAATAGTAATTCTTATATTTTGTTATAATTACATCAATTTTTCTTACATTAATGATAAGGTTAACTGAGCTAACAATAAGACATATTTTTTGTTGGTCCTTGTGCATCATAATGAAATTATCAATTTCCCTTATGAGAGATCTGTATAATTTACCCAAAATGATTAATACGTGCATAAGAATTATTGTCGAACTCCATGTTAATTGATTTACACAATGAAATTAATGAAAGAGTAAGATTAACGAACTATTAAAAAGATTGGCCCGTAAAATAGAACCAACTAGTAAAATAATTTGAGCTCTATCAACAAAAGAAATAATAAAAAGAAAAAGAAACCATCATTGAAAATTAAAATTAATAATCACTGGATAGGCATAAAAAATAATAAATAAATAAACAAAAGTAAAGAAGTGAACATAAAAATGGGACTGATTATTGCAATTAGAGAGTTAGGGGATAAACCTCAACAAACTCCCCAAATTTTTACTTGTTATTTCAGTTGTCGACACCATCTCAATTACACCAATACAGCTCCGCGTATATGATTGAAACAATGGTATAGCCAGAGATAGCTTAATATTGCAACTGATAGCATGATCGCGCTGTGGATACTCTTTGCAGGAGTAATACTGCACATTAGGAGTAAACTCCAGTTGTTGACGGCGGAACACACGGCGATGGAGGCCAAGATGTTCGTCACTCACTCCATCCACATCAAATTCATAATCCAAAGATATCAACCTATACGAACAAAGTCCTTCATCGATCTTGCTAAAACCAAAAGGTTGGTGTCGAGTTGTAAGTAAACGCTTGCCCCCAATTTTTATGACTGTCCAAAACTGTGTAAGAAATCCATTCGACCCCCAAAATAATATTTTTTTAAAACTGGATTTTATTCTCGCCATTTCCTCTGGATTAGGAGAAGCAATCAGGGTTCCATTGATAATCTCTATAGGATTTTGCAAATTTCGAAGCCACAAAAAAAAAAAAAAATACAAGGCAAAGTAAGAATAAGGTAAGCAACAAGTTCATTGTCTTTATTTTATGACTTACTTACCAAAAAAAAAAAGGTGAGCAACAAGAAAAGAAAGTGGGAATCTACTAAATCTAATCTAAATATAAATAAATAAAAAATTTGTTAACATACCTACTATTACTACTTAAGCACAGGTTAGAAATGTTACCGTTTTGTTTTGTGTTACCTGTTTGATATTTTCCCTATATTTTAACACAGACAACCGGTGTTGGGATTTTCTCAGAGATAAAACCAACCAAAATTAAATTAAATTTTTTAATAAAAAGAAAAAGAAAAAGAAAATTAATAGTAAGTGTTTTAATAAGACACTGGTTAAATAGAGAATAATTGGCCTAGCAAAAAAATTAAAAAAAAAAGAGAATAATTGGAGTAAAAGCCAACCAGTAAGTAAAGGAACATATGAAATGAGATGAGAGAGAAACTAACCGGAGCAGGGAGGCGGAGGAGGAGGAGAAGGAGGAGGAAGTTCCCGAGGGTCGTCTTCTCCACTCCAAAAAAACCAACCCCTGCCCCTGCACCAAACACTGTATTGGCGCTCGCAAAGCAGTTGGTGGTTCTTCACATATGATTTGAAATCGTGAGGAAAGTCATGGATCGTATCATCATTCTCGGCCATCAATTATCTGCGCCTCTCTCTCTTTCTGTACTTCCCGGCACCAGCTGCAAAAGTGGTCTTCTTATCTGCCTAGTTGCCTCGTTAAGAAAATAAAATATAATAATAATGGCAGTAATAGGTGAAAGGAAAGTGCGTTTCAAGTGATTCAAGAGGTTCACTTCACATGGTCCAATCTTTAAAAGAAAAAAGTCTTTTAATGGTCAAAGTAAACAGAAAAAACAAATAAAAGGAAAATTATATTACAGTACATGCCATATGTACTACTTTCGGGTTATGATTTTTTTTTCTTTTAATTTTTTGTTATGATTTATTATTGTCACACCCCAAATCCGGGCATGACCGGCCGTGGCCCACAGGGACTTAGCCCAAGGCACACGTAAGCCTAAACACGAATCCAATTACATTGAACAACTGAACAATAGTCCAATAATAAATAACCAAAACTCAATCCAGACATGTCACAATTATAAACGGCAAAATAAACCGTAATCAAAAACCATCCAAACTTATGGGATATAAACAACCCACATATCAAAAATAATCCTAAATGAACTTCGATAAGAATAAATATAAATATGCACAAACTTGACATAACACTCTAAACTAAAGGAATGCCCTAGAGGTCCATGCAATTGAGTCCCCGCTACGCCATGAGTCCACTCTAAATCCTTCTAACACCTGAAAATGGTAAACAACTAAGTCACCTAATAGCTCAGTGAGTAGCAACATGGATAGTAAATACAGTTTTGAAAACAGGGTTCAATTCCAAAATAAGATATATATCACAGAAACTAGATTGGCATACAGTTTGGTAAATACAATCTGTTTCAAAAAGAAGGTTCCACAATTCAACACTTAAAATACTCATGTCTCGCAAGAACATGATAAACGACATTTTCCACTTAAAACAGATTATAACATGAACACCAATAATTTTCTGGGTACCAAGAAAAACAAATAATCTGCCACACAGTTCTCAGGCTATAAGCGCCGTTGGATCCAATACCGAACTAAGAGTCATCCTCAGGGTGGCACCTGGGCCTTTTCTCAAACACGATCCGATTGAAGGTGACCTAGTTGTTTTTAAAGGTCTTTTCCTTACAATCGTTGAGCACTAGAGTCATCACGGCCCAACCCGGATCTGTTCCCTAGTGGCCAGAGTCACCACACACAGTGGAATAATTTTCCTGGACTAAATACACACATGGTCCCAATAATCAATACACATCAGTTTCACAAAACATGGTGGTTCATCATTATAAACATGAGACCAAAACAAAGAGTTTACAGTATGCCAAGTTCACACATATTTCAGAAATAATTTGATTCAATTGATAATATAATAATTTATCAAAACAGTTTAGTCTTAAAATAACAATTTAATTTTCCAACAGTTCAGGGTAGGGGAACATTTATAAAAATACGTAGCATGAAACTACTCAACAGTCAGGTCTTCAACCGTTGCCTCCAACCGAGCTGATTAATCGTTGATTTGCTCGTTGATTACCGGAGTAACAGTTTGCTCGTTTTCATCATCTTCATCATCTGAATCCTGCAAGAATTGTTCTTGGACCGAAGCAGCATATTCCGCTAGTGAGGCCGGAATGAAGTACTATGGAGCATTGTAGACCTCAGTTTCAGGCCCACAGCCGAGCTGTTCCACAGCACTCCTCCAGCCACACTTGAAGAACAAGTCTTTCGCCCCCTTGCATTGTGGAATGTAGAGGCCCTCCGCCTCTTTGAAACCTTTGGCATTGGCATCACTGACCTTCTTCTTTAGATCGGATATTTCGGCGTCTTTTTTTCCTTCGAGTTTGACCAACTCGCGCAAGTATTTGTCTTTCACCGTTGCTGCAATTTTTTGTTTTTCGGCTTCAGCCGAGCTAAAAATTCCGGTCAAGCGACCGTTCTCGGACTGTAGCTCGGCTATCTGCTTCTTAGCTCACTCAAGCTCGGCTGTCTTTGCCTCGGCATCAGCCATGGCCTGCCTCGTCGTTTTCTTGAGCTCCAGCACTTTCTTATGTGCAATGTTGTTCTTCTGAATGGCTTGCAAAAGTAGTAACTCTTTTTAGCCGGACTGACAGTTGGGAAAAGTTAGACAAAGAAAAGGGAGAGCCACTTACCAGGATCATTGACTTTGTTGATGACCGGATGGCCTTCAGTTCGGTGTTGAGTTGCTTGTTGTGGTGCTCCATATCTTTTGGAAGGCAAACACTCTTGGCTAGGTTGAAAGCCATTAAGTGATCCTTCTCAGCAACAACCGAGTCACTTTCCTCGATATTTCGGTTTTGAAAGGTGAGAACTAGAGCCCATTTAGAGGAGTCAGCTCGGTCAGATTGCTCCGGTTCAAGGAGAGGTTGAGGACTTGGTGGAGAGATGAATTCGTCCTCATCCACAAGCTGTCGTTCGGTCGGGGTAGATCGGGCGCGCTTAGAGGGGCGTGATGAAGAAGGCTGTTTGAAGGAAGGGCTACAACGGCAGGCTGCGTTTGACTTGGTGGCGGTACTTCGGGCCTGTTGGTCTCGGTCAAGAGGGCCTTGACTCTGTTTCTTTTGGCCATTTCTTCTTCAGCGGTTAGTGGGATTAGTCTGATCTCTGGCAAGGTTAGGTCCGGTTCTGGGGCGTCTTCAAGAAGAAAATCAGTCACTCTGGCTTTTCGGCGACCACTGTATCTGTAGGTCGGCTCGAACTTTAGCAGTTTGGCCCAACTACGTTCTGGATACCGTAGTGCGGTGCGCAAAGTCACTAGATTTGGGTAGCTGTATAATGAATGGAGGTGGGCAGAATCTGCGAAAGAAGACAACTGTTAGTTCGGCTGAAAGATTGAAAAAACGAAATATAGTAAAGCAAGCAAGAAAATCGAAGTAAGTATACCGGGCTCTCCTTTTTTCCAGTTTATACGTCGGCCAGGAATCTGGGCTTGGTGATCCTCAAAATTCCCAGACACCCAGAAAAAATCATCATCATTTAAGTCTTTATCCGGTGTATGTTTTATTATCTTCTCTCGGCGACGACGTATTCTTAAATAGTAGACCCACCCATCTTCTTTTGAACCAATGGAGTATTGGTGGAAGATTTCGGCTAGACCGAGGTTGAGTCCGGCTTGGCGGTTTAGTTCGGCTATTCCCATTATGATACGGTAGGAATTGGTGGATAGTTGGGTTGGGCATAGTCTGGTTTGCCTAAGAAACTCACAAATTAAGGGTTGGACTGGAAATCGTAGTCTGGTTTCTATTATGGACAAAAGGGTGAAGGGGACAAAGCCTTCGTTTCCCCAGGGTATGACATCTTTTTCGGCTAAAATCAAATGGACATCATCGGGTATATTGTAGTCTTTTCTGAATTCGGCTAGGCCGCCTGGAGTATTTACTAGATACCTATACTTCCCCATTTATTGTATAAATTACGTATAAATTAGATCGGTGCAAAAATTGTGCTCAGTAGCTCGGTTACACACGTAGAGGAGTGCCTGGGCGACCTAAGTCTGCAAAGTGAAGAACAAAGGTGTTAAGCACAGATCATTGGATTGTGCTACAAATTAAAAGCAAGTTAAAAAAGTCCTACTTCGGCTTTGTGGACTACAGGTTCTATCTCGGTTTCTGCAAGGTGATTGGTAGCTCGGTTTGAGCAGGGTTTTTGTTAGCTCGACCTTGGCAAGCGTCTCGACATATCGGTTATGGAAACGATTTTGTTAGACCGGTTCATCGTCTAGGGGCAGCTTTCTGAGTTTGGTCTAAAAAACTAAGAAAGTTGGTTTAGCCCCGAAGGCCTAAGATCGGTTGGAGTTCAGGTATCTCAGTATGCTAAATACAAACTTAGTTCGGTTGGTTACCTCGGCTAAGGACTATCAAAAAGTTTTGACTTATTCAAAGCTACTGGTGTTAACATGAAGTGTTAGTCCGGTTGTACGCTGACTAGACTTTTACCTAGCTTAAACAGTATCCTAGTTCGGTTGTATCATGATTTTGAATCAAAAACCAGTTTTATACAGGGTATTTCATATACTCATATGTTCTATGGTTAAAGTTTTTTCCATAAGAGTACACAGCAAAGCAAAATGAAAAAATGTTTTGCAAAAACACAGAAAATAGAATACGAAAACAAAGTGAGATGTACAATGCTAACCTGAAGAAGCAAGAGTTGGAGGGAGACTAGCAGCTGGGAAGAACACGAGCTCAAAAAAGTGGAGAGGCAGTAGAAGCTCAGATAAGGAGAAGTTACAAAATATGGCAAAGATGAAGAGGCTCGTTTTAGGTAAAGGCAAAAAGGGCGGGACTGTTCAAATTTCACGAAGTACGAAGACGGCGTGACAGCCGTCCTCAGTCAATCAGAGCGTGCCACGTGTCATTAGAATGGGAAGCGTTACAGTCGCTGTGATTGAAGAGACGTTTTGACCGGACAAGTAGAGCCCGGAGTGAAATAAGCTCGGTCGGAAGGCTAAAGAGTTTTTTAGCTCGGCTGGAGAGGCTAAAGGGTTTTTTTAGCTCGGCTAGAAAGGCTTAAAAACTTCAGCTCAGCTGATAGACAGGTAATCCCAATCATGCTGTGCAGATGGAATTAACGGGCAATTGAGAGGGTAATTTTGGTGAAAATTGGGCCGAGCTATGAGATGGACATTATGGCCCAAAGTACGAAGGGCTGGGTAAAAAGGCTGTAAGATTACTCCGGCCCAAGAGAGGTAAAAGATTACTCCGGCCCAGAAGAAATGTAAAGTTACTTCGGTCCGGAAGCAACTTGGAGTTAGGCCGGTCTCAGAGTTAGTCCGGTCATAACGTATTGTGGTTAGAACGGTCAGAACCTTGCTACTCGGAAGCTCGGTCTAAACACACCATGGGTTGTACATGAGAGAACCGAGATAAGGAGGAGTAAAAGGAAGAACCGAACTAAGGATAGTTCGGCCTACTCTGTGGCTCAGCATAGCCAGTTTTATTTCAGTCATGTTGTAGTTCGGCCATGGTAAAAACCATCTCACTTGGTTTAAGCAGT